CAGGCTGGGTTGACTATTCCTTCTGGTGCAAGCATAAGTCAGAGTAGGTGTGGGTTGGTTGGGCTTTGCCGCAGCATCAGCTGTCAGATGCTGGCACACGGGACAAAATCTGACAAAGTTAAGCTGAGGAACTACCTGGAAGGTGCAAGATCCGGGAGTGAGAGTGGGCCCAGTAGGGAACCAGTGGGCACCTCCCTATTGGGTTGCCACTCCCACTGGTGAGCATGAGAACCAGGCCGGGGGCAGGCATGGCTAGACAGAGTGGCACCCACTGGTACATGTGTGGGCTGGATAGTGGGGCTGGTTGGGTTGAACTAGGCTTCAATGCCCATTGAGATGTGTGAGAGCTCAATGGGATATGGGACAGACTAGACCAGTCTGCTGTACACACTGGTAAGCCCGGGAACCAGGGCAGGGAGCAGGCCTGGTGGGGGTTACTGTGAGTTGATCCGACTAGGCTGCAGCTCCCTCTAGTGTACATGAGTGTGTGATGGGCAGGATCAGGCAGGGCTGCAACACCCATTTTGTTTATGTAAAAGACAGGGCTGCAGACAGAACGGAGCCAGCAATTGAAACCAACAGCGTGTACATAAGCTGAATGGGGTGATGGACTGTGCCGGCCCTTGTACTGGCAGGCACACACAAGATTCAGGTCTGGGATCACCTCAGATGAAGTTTCTTTGGGGATCCCTCCAATGGAATTGCTGGACTCAGAACCCCAACCATGGAGAGACTTGCAGGTTCCATGCTCTGACTGTGGAGTGCACGTGTTAGAGCTGGGCCACCTCAGTGGCTTAGTTGGAGCAGTGGATGGCCCATTCAGGTGCACATAGAGGATGTGGCAGTACATTTGAGTCTGCAGAGGACAGCTGGTACCACAATAAAAGATTGAGGACAGAACAAATTTATCAACTAACCCTGCCACATGTTTGGCAGTGACTTTCTGGGCAAACGGAGACTCTAAGGTGGACTATGTCAAACAGCGGATTCTGGAGAGATTTCATTGTGCTTGGAGTGACGAGATCGGCAGTAATTTGGAACTGTTAAACTATCAAAACTACTTGAGCAGGACCCTCAGAGCATGCCCCCATTGGGGACCCTGGGGCAGTGTTGAGTAGCTGTCCTCCATCCCAAGGTACAGAGGTATTTAGGGCTTCTCCCCTTACCTGCCCCCTTCCCCCAGATACAGGAAGGGAAAATGTGGAAATGGTGATCTCACCCAGCTTCCTGTAACACATGACCCTTATCACCCTAATCAACTAAGTAAAAATCATCAAAAAAATAATAATTAATGAAACATTAAATTAATAAAATTTCTCTCAAATTTAGTGACTGCTCCTGCAACTTCTGACATGAGCTAACCAGATTTGATTGCTTCCTATGGGCATGTTTTTACAGACTTATTTATGTTTTTTTAAATTCCTGTAATATCTGTTCATTGGTTTTAGTTTTTGTTTTTGTACCAACAGAGCATTTTATTTCTTCCATGTGGAATATATTGCTATTTAAATGAAGACACTTATATCTGGCTAGACAAATTTTTCTTTTTCCCTAAATTTTTATTTATTTGGGAGGTATAGACGAGAGAGACAGTGTTATGTCCACTCCGCTGGTTCTCTTCACCATTTACACAGTAGCATCGGGCAGGGGCAGGGCCAGTTCAATGCCACACACTCAATCCAGGTCTCTCACATTGGGGACAATGTCCCAATAACTTGAGCCATCACTTACCGCTTCCTGGGGCATGTGCTTGCAGGAACCTGGAATCAGAAATGGACTCGGGACTCAAACCTGGGCACTCCAACATGGGCTGTGGGAATCCCAAGCAGCCCCTTAGTAGCTATGTCACATGCCCACTGCTGGCCTGCGCAGTAATCCATGACAACTACTCTACTAACGTCACTTAGAATTTAGACATACTCGTTTCATTCCTACCTGTCATACTTTAGGATGACCACTGCACTTATTATTTCATTTGTTTTGCAAATGCTGTTAAGACTTTTAAAGAATCTTTTCCAAAACTTCATGTTGATCCAGAATTTTAAAAATCTTGAGGGCCTGGCACAATGGCCTAGCAGCTAAAGTCCTCACCTTGAATGTGCCGGTATCCCATATGGGCACCGGTTCTAATCCCAGCAGCTCCACTTCCCATCCAGCTCCCTGCTTGTGGCCTGGGAAAGCAGTTGAGGATGGCCCAAAGCCTTGGGACCCTGCACCTGCATGGGAGACCCAGAGGAAGCTCCTGGCTTTGGATTGGCTCAGCACCAGTCATTACGGTCACTTGGGGAATGAATCAACGGATGGAAGATCTTCATCTCTGTCTCTTCTCCTCTCTTTATATATTTGCCTTTCCAATAAAAATAAATAAATCTTTGGAAAAAAAATCTTGAGACATGGTTGTATCAAAAGAATCAGGTCATGACTTCCTTATACAGCTTGAAAATCCCTTATGCAAAATGATTGAGATCAGAACAGTTTTTGGATTTAGGCATTTTTTAAAAGATTATGAACTATGTGCATATATATAAAATGAGATTTGGGGACGGGGATAACACTCAAGTTTAAATTCAAAATTCATTCATTTCATATATGAGGGATTTATAAAAATTCCATGGAAAATACATATTATAAAAAAGCAGAAATTTCAAATTTTCTTGCAGCAAAAAAGTTTATCTTAATTCCATAAATTTTTTTCAAGTCTCCTGTATCCCTTACACAGGTAAATTTATACAATATTTTAGTGCTCTTGTGTTTTGTCTCTGACCTATCACATGAGGTCAGGTGTGTCATGTCAGCACTCAAAGGGTTTCAACATTTGAAAAAAAATGACCTCACATTTTGGAAAATTTCATTATGAATACTCACGTTCTGTACCACAGGAAATACGCTTTTGTAACCACAAAAGTACATGAAGTACTATATTAACACTTAACAGCTGAGTTATATTCAGCATTGCTAACTAGAAGTATCTAAACCATCCTCCAGCATTTTCATGTAGGGTATAGGGAATGTTTTTTAGATTTGTTTTATTTTTATTGGAAAGGCAGATCAGATTTACAGAGAAAAGGAGAGACAGAAAGATCTCCCATCCAATGGTTCACTTTCCAAATGGCCACAAAATGGCCAGAGCTGAGCCACTCCGAAGCCAGGAGCCTGGAGCTTCTTCCTGGTCCCCCACATTGGTGAAGGGTCCCAAGGCTTTGGGCCGTCCTCGACTGCTTTCCCAGGCCACAAGCAGGGAGCTGGATGGGAAGCGGGGCTGCCAGGACACTAATCAGCACCCATATGAGATGCTGAATCAGCACCCATATGAGATGCTGCACCAGCACGGTGAGGATTTAGTCATTGAACCATAGTGCTGGGCCCATTTTCATATAGGTCTTTACAGTTTATTAGAATTCATTTCTACATAAAAAAACATATATATATATCCACGATCTCTAGGGTACGCTTACTCAGCACTGCATATTTCTGTTCATATTTTTTTCAATAAATCAATAAAAGCCTGGTGAGCCTTGGGCAATGTCCCTGCTCAGAACAACTACATAGTAATCTGTGCGTCATCTCTCGGATCAGCACATCTTGAGACACGGAGAGGCAGGGAGTAACCCTTTAGGAGGGAACACAAACTTCAGTTCTCCTCTCTGCAGACATATACCCAGTCTGTGAAATGCGCTGGCGGCACTCACCCGTGGGGGAAAACAATTTCTAACACATGAGAAGTTAATGATATGGAAAACTGAATTAAAATATATGTTTATTTGGGTGTAAAAACTTGAAATTCATGCACAGCTTTTTCACAATACTGATTATTCTGAGCTTTTTGACAACTACTTCATTTTGTAAAGATTTTTAGAAATAATTTACACCAAAATAAACTTGTTTTTCCATGATCTATTTCAAGTCCTCTGGTTTTAAATACATAAAAATACTATACTACTTTGTTTACATTTCCTTCCTTCCCAATAGGACCAAAGCACACTGAAGGCTGAAAGAGCTTGAGTCAGCTGCTTTGCCACTCCAGAAACGGAATATGAAATGTTCACTCAGTATGCAACAGGGAAAGGTACAGCAATATAATAATTAAAAACCATAAAAACATAATCATATTATTTTAAAATACTAAGAACATGTAATATGAAAAAAAAAAACCCTTAATGTCTAATTGGTAGTTTGACAGAGTTTCCTGGATGATGTGAAATTTGGAAATTTCTGAGCAGCATAAGAGAACTGTTGAAAGTAATAATAAGTCAAATTAATAAATTGGGCCCGGCGTGATAGCATAGTGGTTAAAGTCCTTGCCTTGCACACACCGGGATCCCATATGGGCGCCGGTTCTAATCCCGGCAGCTCCGCTTCCCATCCAGCTCCCTGCTTGTGGCCTGGGAAGGCAGTCAAGGATGGCCCAAATCTTTGGGACCCTGCACCTGCATGGGAGACCTGGAAGAGGCTCCAGGCTCCTGGCTTCGGATTGGCTCAACTCCAGCCATTGCAGTCACTTGGGAAATGAACCATAGGATGGAAGATCTTTCTCTCTCTCTTCCTCTATGTATATTCACCTTTCCAATAAAAATAAATAAATCTTTTTTAAAAATTAACAAATTAAGAAAATAATCACCGGGCTAGCATTGTAGTGCAGTGGTTAAGCCACTAGCTGTGATGTCAGCATCCCACATTGGAGCACCAGTTCAAGTGCTGGCTGCTCTGCTTCGACCCTGCTCCCTGCTAACGTACATGGAAAAGCAGCAGAAGATGGCCCAGGATACTTGGGCCTCTGCAAGCATGCTGGGAGACACAAATGGAATTCCTAGCTCTTGGCTTCAGCCTGGCCCTGCCTGGGCTACACTGGCCATCTGGGGAATGAAATAATGAATGAAAGGTTCCCTTCTCTCTTCGTCCCTCCCTCCCTGTTACTTTGCTTTTTGGATATATAAAATGAATGTTTACAGACAAAAAAAAAAGAAAAGAACTTGACAAGTATCCCATCATTCCACAGGTACCTTTTTTCAGAAGAGGACTGAAGTCAGCTGCTTTCTCTCGAAAAACCCTTTGAGCATCCTCAGGTTTCATAGTCACTTCCTTTGTTTGGACTAGGAAAAAACCTTTACCAATCATCTGTGGAAAATAAAATTGCATTTAGATTTTAAAATGAACTTCTGAGACTGAATATTTTTCTACTCTAGTAGTTTTCTTTATTAAATGCAACACTGCACTTTATACACTAACCCTGAACATGTGCTATAACAAGATATCATGTACATGAGATTCTTCCAGATGGCTATGCATGAATATTGTCATACCCACTCTTAAGAGTCAAATAATATGAATCACCCTTTAATCTTACAATTAAAAATATTTTTGATTGAGGCTACCAAGAGAAATTTTAGGTTGGTGATCCTGAAAATGTCTTCACAGGAAGAGACTAGTTTAAGGCACACTGACATGATGAAACACCACAGTTCATTACATTTAATTAATATAAAAATTAAATATAAATTAAATATAAATTAAATATAAAATTTAAATATAAATTAAATATAAAAAAGATTTTATAAAATGGGGAAGGCTTGTGCAATAATGTTTAGTTTATTATTTTTAAAAGATTTATTTTATTTTCATCAGAAAGTCAGATATACAGTGAGGACAGACTGAGAGGAAGATCCTCCGTCTGTTGACTCAATTCCCAAGTAACCGCAACAGCCAGAGCTGAGCCAATCCGAAGCCAGGAGCCAGGAGCCTCTTCCAGGTCTCTCATGCAGGTGCAGGGTCTCAAGGCCTTGGGCCATCCTTACTGATTTTCCAAGCCACAGCAGGGAGCTGGATGGGAAGCGGGACCACTGGGATTAGAAACAGCGCCCATATGGGATCCCAGTGTGTGCAAAGTGAGGACTTTAGCTACTAGGTTACCACGTGGGGCCCAATGTTCAGTTTATTTTAAAGTCCTCACCTTGCATGCACCGGGATCCTCTATGGGCACCAGTTCGTGTCCTGGTGGCCCTGCTTCCCATCCAGCTCCCTGCTTGTGGCCTGGGAAAACAGCTGAGAACGGTTCAAGACCTTGGGACCTTGCATCCGTGTTGGAGACCCAGAATAAGCTCCTGGCTTTGGATCAGCTCAACTCCAGCCATTGTAGCCACTTGGAGAGTAAACCAGTGAATATATATATATATACACATACACACACACACATATATATATATACTTAATTATTAGTGGAAAGAGATTTATAGAGAGGAGACACAGAAAGATCTTCCATCCACTGGTTCACTTCCCAAGTGGTTGCAATGGCTGAAGCTGAGCTGATCTGAAGCCAGGAGCTTCTTCTGGGTCTCCCAGTGGATGTAGAGTCCCAAGGCTTTGGGCCATCTTCTTGCTTTCCTAAGGCAAAAGCAGGGAGCTGGATGGAAAGTGGAGCAGATGGGATATGAATCAGTGCCCATACGGGATCTCAGTGTGTGCAAAGTGAGAATTTATCCACTGAGCCATCATGCAATACATAGTTTATTTTTTAAAGAGATTTATCGATTTTTATTGTAAAGGCAGAGTTACAGAGAGAGAGAGAAAGAGAAAAAGAGAGAGCAAAACAGATTCCATCCATTGGTTCACTCTCCAAAGGGCTGGTCAAAGGCCGGGAGCCTGGAACCCCTTCTCCGCCTCCCATGTGGGTGTAGGGTCCCAAGTTTTTGGGCATTCTCCACTACCTTTCCAGGCCATAAGCAGGGCACTGTATCAGAAGTCGAGCAGCTAAGACATGAACCAGCACTCATATGGGATTCTGACACTGCAGGCTGAGGCTTAAGCTGCTATATCACCACGATGGCCCCCATGTCCATTTTAAGCGGTATGGTACAGGGGCTGGGACTGTGGAATAGCAAGTTAAGCTACCCACTGTGATACTGGCATTCCACATGAGCACTGGGTACAGTTCTGGATGCTCTACCTCTGATCCAGCTCCCTGATCATATGTCTGGCAAAGCAGCAGAAAGTGGCATGAGGGCTTGGGCCCTTGTCACCTGTGTGAGAGATCTGGATGGCGCTCCAGGCTCCTGGCCTGAGCCCAGGTCATTCTCAGCTGTTGTGGCATTTGGAGAATGAACTACCAGATGTGAGATCTTTGTCTCTCCCTCCTTCTCTATAACTCTGCTTTTCAAAATAAATATTAAATAATCAAAGGGCATGATATAAGCCTGTAGAGTATAGCACAGTAATGATAGATGACATTTATGGAGTACTTACTACATTCCAGGCAGTTTTATGTACCTTATATATATATTTACATTTAACCCTCTTACGAGATATATATTATGATTACCATCATTGTGGTTAAACTTGCTCAAGGTCACATAACTGTTATGTAATAGAGCTGTTCAACTGCAATTAATCTGAGTAGAGATTAAATGAATTAAAAATTATTCCTAAAAAGACTTCAAGGAACAGAACTGTGGAGGATTTTAAATCTATTTCTATTCTTTCTTATTTCTATAGTTCACTACAGTAAATGAAAGTAGCTTAACAAATACAGAATCATTATAATTACTTAATTTTTTAGAAAAGCTTATTGAACTTTTTTTAAAAAATATATATTTTTTTTATGGGCCCAGCGCGGTGGCGCAGTGGTTAAGGTCCTCGCCATGCACGCCCGGGATCCCATATGGGCGCTGGTTCTAGCCCGGCAGCCCCGCTTCCCTTCCAGCTCCCTGCCTGTGGCCCGGGAAAGCAGTCGAGGACGGCCCAAAGCTTTGGGACCCTGTACCCACGTGGGAGACCCGGAAGAGGCTCCTGGCTTCGGATCGGCATAGTATCGGCTGTTGCGCTCACTTGGGGAGTGAATCATTGGACGGAAGATCTTCCTCTCTGTCTCTCCTCTCTGTATATCCGCCTTTCCAATAAAAAAAAAAATAAATAAATAAATCTTTAAAAAATATATATGTATTTTTTATTAGAAAGGCAGATTTAGAGAGAGAAGGAGAGACAGAAAGACCTTCCATCCATCCACTGGTTCATTCCTGAAATGGCTGCAATGGTCAGAGATAAGCCTATCTGAAGCCAGGAGCCAGGAGCTTTCTCTGGGTCTCCCACACGGGTGCAGGGTCCCAAGCCTTTGGACCGTCCTCAACTGCTTTCCCAGGCCACAAGCAGGGAGCTGCTCGATGGGAAGTGGAGCTGCCGGGACATGAATTGGTGGTCATATAGGATCCTAGTGTGTGCATGGTCAGGATTTTAGCCAGTAGAGGCATCATGCTGGGCCCCTATCTCTGCTTTTCATCCAGGTTTCTGTTTATGCTCCTAGGAGGAAACAGACAACGGCTTAAGTATTTGGGTTTCTGTTATCCATGTGGGAAATCCAGATGGAGTTCCTGGCTCCTGGTTTGGACCTGGCCCAGCTCCAGCCCCAGCTGTTGAAGGTATCTGGCAGGCAACCAGGGGATATAAGATTGTGTGTGTGTGTGTGTGTGTGTGTGTGTGTGTGTGTGTGTGTGTGTGTGTGTGTGTGTGTGTGTTTTCCCCCTTTGTCGTTCTACCTTTCAAACAAATATTTTGAGAAAATTGCAGAGAATTACATGGGTGTCACCTCCAGATGATGACTGTTAAGGTTAGGTAAAACATGAGAAATAATCCTATTTCTAGTTCTGATTTTCTACACTATTCATCATCTCCCATTTTATAGCCAGACACATGAACTAATAATTTAGATAGTGTAACCTAAAACGAACTATAAAATTGTATCTTCAGGGGCCCGGCGGTGTGGCCTAGCGGCTAAAGTCCTCACCTTGAACGCACTGAGATCCCATATGGGCATGGTTCTAATCCCAGCAGCTCCACTTCCCATCCAGCTCCTTGCTTATGGCCTGGGAAAGCAGTCGAGAACAGCCCAAAGCTTTGGGACCCTGCACCCATGTGGGAGACCTGGAAGAAGTTCCTGGCTCCTGGCTCTGGATCGGCACAGCACCGGCCGTTGGGCCCACTTGGGAGAGTGAATCATCGGATGGAGGATCTTCCTCTCTGTCTCTCCTCCTCTCTGTATATCTGACTTTGTAATAAAAAATAAATCTTAAAAAAAAAAGAAAAAAAAAAAGAAAGAAATTGTATCTTCAGTATTTTTCCAAACATTGAAGATACATTTTTATAAAAGTTCTCCTTTTAAAGATTTGAAAACAGGGTTAACAATTTAAAATTATTAAATGCTCCCAAACAATGCAACCTACTTTACTGAGTAATTTCCTTAAAGTGCTTATATTAGTGCCTGGCATATAATAAACACCGTGTCCATGCTGGCTATTGTTATTAATGCTGGATTTTGTTTATTTTGTATTCTATAAGGACATTTAAAGAACCTTATTCTTCCTGGTCATATTCTTTTCAAGGACATTCAACATCACTGTGAAACCATTAAGAACATCTTGAAGATTCATGAAGCAAGACTTTTGATAGCTTTTCTTAATTTGTACCAAATGCTAAATTTATATCCACTCCTTATTAGCTACCAAAAAGGAGCTTAAATGAAATAATTATATCTTTTGAAAGCTATTTGTAATTTTTTTTAAAAAAAATCACAATAGTATAACAAAATATTTATCTCTCAGGTATTGATTAGCATGTGATTAGAAAGCTGAAAGGCTGGAAGTATGTTTTGCCATATCTCACCAGATTCATAGCATGCTTTCATCAGACGGGCACAGTAAAACATGAAAGCACTAAATGATACTTTGCCTTATTATTCTGAGAACTATCTCAGATACACTTTGCAAATTTCAGCCATGGATTTTCTACTTTGTAGACTATATAGCTATGGAGAAGTAATTGTTTTTTCCCTAAAATCATTCCTTAGACATGTTCCAATTGAACAAATCTATTAAAAAAAAAAACAGGCTTGATGAAGATTCTATTCATGTCTCCATTTCTGGATTCTTGATTTTTCAGACTCAAATAGGATTCTCCCGAAGAGCACCTGATTAAGAGATAATCAACACATCCCACTGCTGACTCCTGAGTGAGGCAGGCAGCACGGCCGCTGCTGGTTCTGGAGACCCTCACTTTTTTGCCCCAGTTATTCTACAAATGGAAGCTCCGAACCGAGAACGTTTGTTTACTCATGAGCTCACCGGAAGCCCTTGTTCCTCAGCTTCCCTTCCATGGCAATAGGGGCAAAGGAAAAGGAGAAGTATTAGAGGGAGGTTGCTTTCTTGGTTACAACAGGGTTCAAAAACTGTATTCTCAAAAGTCTTTTCTACCACTTAACCAACTAAAACTCCAAAGAAATTTCCACACTAAGTAATTACAAGAGACCATGCTCTACCATGTAGTACCACTTTTAAAGCTTTTGATGAAGTTATTTGTTACAAAGAATGGAAATTCTTTGAGAATATAGAATTGTGTCTATCTCCATCTCAAGCATATACTATATTTCATCCTTTCTTTGTTTTTGTTTTCATCATTTCCAGCTTGTTATCAATTATGCATATTAGATAAGCAAAAGTGTGAGAAACAAATCCATATACCACTATAGCCTAGCAGCTAAACTCTTCACCTCGAAAGCACCTGGATCCCATATGAATGCCGATTCTATTCCCGGCAGCCCCATTTCCCATCCAGCTCCCTGCTTGTGGCCTGGGAAAGTAGTCGAGGACGGCCCAAAGCCTTGGGACCCTGTGCCCACGTGGGAGACCTGGAGGAAGCTCCTGGCTCCTGGCTTTGGATAGGTGCAGCTCCAGCTGTTGCAGTCACCTGGGGAGTGAATCAGCAGACGGAAGATCTTTCTATCTCTCCTCCCCTCTGTATATCTGACTTTGCAATAAAAATTAATAAATCTTAAAAAAAAAAACATATACTATGATCAACGAAAATATACTTAACAGTAACTTTATGTAATAGGTGACTAATGAATGCTTATGGAATTATACATTTCTTAAAAAGTGTCTTCGGAAAAGTATTTTGAGTCCCAAGCAAACTTGTTTACAGACATGTCTAGGAGGATGCAAGGGCCAGGCCTGTACTTCTAACAGTCAGTTTGAAAACAAAGGGAAGTGCTCAGGGCAGTGAGTTTATCTTATCAAGCGCAGGTCTGTTTACCCTCTGTGTCTCCTTACCTCATCAATTAGTTTCCTGGCATTTGCGATAGAATAATCACCAGCAAATAACACCACTAAGCATGATTCATCGCTATTCTTTTGCCTCTGACCCCGGGTTACTGGAACAATGCTTCTATTAGCTTCTGTGGAAATCCGGACAGCTTTGAGCTCTTCAGTCGTAGGTACAGGAACGTAGTCCTGAACCACAGCATCTTCTGGAAGAAGGGTCCAGTTGAGCTCTCCTGACTCAGGTGTAAAGTCATGAATGTTACTCCATGTATTATTGAAGATACTTAGCCCTGCGTCTTTGAACTGAAAAGCTAATTCAGGGTAGTACCACTGGAAACAGCCAAACTTGATATTTGTGGAAGATTCAATAATGGGTTGAGTGGCACAACACAGAAAGACTTCCAGCTTTCTACAATCACGCACACGGAATTGCTGGCAGGCTAATACACATTTGCAATCTCTGCAGTTTCGGAAAAACACACTGCCTTTCACTGGTCCCAGGAAAATGACACAGTTAGTACAGTCATCAATGGTAATTGTAGCAGAGTGATCAAAAATGTAGATGTTACAGTTCTCACAGTCTTGAATGACAAACTGTTGTCCTGCTACTTTTCCAGGTAAGCGACCTACTGTTTCATCCTTCAGTCCATTGAATATGTATTCTTTTAGATCAACCTGTAGGGATAAAAGACAGACTTTGAGTATTATTAATATTACCTGGCAAATATAAATTAAGTGCCTTTTGCGTGCCAGGCACACTTCTTGGTGCTCAAACCTTAGTTTCTTATCTCACTGACTTTGCTTCACAGCAAGAAAGTGAACAGGAAAATATTATTCTCCCAGGGCCTAGTGGCGTGGTCTAGCGGCTAAAGTTCTTGCCTTGAACGTGCCGGGATCCAATATGGGTGCTGGTTCTAATCCTGGCAGCCCCGTTTGCCATCCAGCTCCCTGCTTGTGGCCTGGGAAAGCAGTCAAGGACGACCCAAAGCCTTGGGACCCTACACCCACGTAGGAGACCCAGAGGAGGTTCCTGGCTCCTGGCTTCGGATCAGCGCAGCACCGGCCACTGCGGTCACTTGGGGAGTGAATCATCGGAGGGAAGATCTTTGTCTCTGTCTCTCCTCCTCTCTGTATATCTGATTTTGTAATAAAAATAAATAAATCTTAAAAAAAAAGAAAATATTATTCTCCCAAAAGAGAAAAGGCAGAAGGGGGAAAAGTGAACAGACATTCACAGAATACAATGTTTGAATACTGGATCCTGTTTCAAACATACTAATTCTAAAATCACTAATTTGAAATGCAGTTACAGAGTGAGCGAGTGAACCACTGTGAGACAGAAAGACCTTTCATTCCCTGGTTCATTCCCCAAGTGGCGACTCTGACCAGGACTAAGCCAGGCCGAATCCTGGAGCTTGGAAGTTCATCTGAGTCTCAGGTTGATGGCAGGGGCCCAGGTATTTAGGCCATCTTCTACTGAGTCCCCAAGCACATTAGTCTGAAGTTGACTCGGAAGTGGAACAACCAGGACTCAAACTGTACTCTTAGGGATTCTGGCATCACAGACAGCAGCTTAACCTGTTGTACCACAAGTGCCTGCCCCACCTACTTGAAATTTTTAAAGTACTGCAAAATAACACTTGTTAAGAAGTAATCACGGGGCCCGGAGATGTAGCCTAGTGGCTAAAATCCTCTCCTTTTATGCACCGGGATCCCATATGGGTGCCAGTTCTAATCCCCGTAGCCCTGCTTCCCTTCCAGCTCCCTGCTTGTGTCCTGGAAAAGCAGTCAAGAACAGCCCAAAGCCTTGGGACCCTACACACATGTGGGAGACCCAGAAGAGGCTCCAGGCTCCTAGCTTTGGATAGGCTCAGTTCCAGCCGTTGCAGTCACTTGGGGAGTGAATCACTGGACAGAAGATCTTCCTCTCTGTCTCTCCTCTTCCCTGTATATCTGAGTTTGCAATAAAAATAAATCTTTTTTTTAAAAAAAAAAAAAAAAAGAAAAGAAATCGCAGTTGAGAGGCAAAGACACCGAGTGAGCTCCCATAGCCTGGTTCATTCTCCAAATGGTAGAACTTCCTTATAGATGGCAGGAAGCCAGCTGCTTGACATGTTACTGCTACCCCAGCAAGTTCGTTAGCAGGATGAAAGAATCAGGAGCTGCAACAGGGAGCTGGACTCTGGCAAGACTTGGCCTATCGCTACCAAAGCATACTCGATGGGCAAGGGGAAGTCTTGAGCCTCACCTTGTGGTCTGTTTCACTGTACCAGAGACTTCTTCAAACTTTCATATAAAATTCTGTGTATTTGGTAGGGGGTTGGGTGGAGATTTGATTTGGTGTTCAAGATTCTGGCCAAAGTATCTTTGCATAAGTTAACTTTGCACATTTGAAAGCATATTCATGCATATTTATCTCAGAATTAAGTGACAAACCAATATACATATTAAAATTTGTGAGCAGGTAATACCTGACAGAGGAATTTAAACAATGTTTTTTGTATGACAACTGAAATATGGGTATATGAGATGTATAGTATATAAATGATGAATTTTAACTATATTATTTGGAGTTAAGATACCTGGTTGCAAATGTAGAAATAAAATATATTCTTAACTTTTTAAATAACTGAACTGCTGCCTTTATCTGCTTGGCCTAGGTTATGAACTGAATGTTTATATCCCCCACAAATTCTTATGTTGAAGCCATAACCCCCAGCGTGATGGTATTTGGAGGTAGAAAGCCTTTGGGAAATAATTAGGCTTCCATGAGGTCACAAGGATGGGAGCCTCCCACGATGAATCCATGCCTTTGAAGATGAGGAGATGCTGAGTGCTCCCGTTCTCTTTGAGAGGGAAAAACCCTCAGAGGAAAGACTAATGTGAAAACATGGCAAGAAGACTGCTGGTTCTAAGCCAGGATGCGAGCGCTCACTAGACACTGAAATCTGCTGTCACCTTGACCTTGGACAGCCTAGGCTCCAGATCTGTGAGAAATAAAAAGTTTACCACCAGTGGTATTCTATGATGGCAGCCTGCCTTTAGGGACTGAACCATCCCTCTTTCGTGTGCTCATCAGGCCTAACGTGTTTGTACAAAGGGTAAGGGGCAGGGGTGTAGCAGAAAGGCTTACGCCACAACCTGTGATGCTGGCATCCCATATAAGCACCAGTTCAAGTCCCAGCTGCCCCACTTCCACCAGCTCCTCTCTAATGTACTTGGGAAGGCAGTAGAAGATGGTCCAAGTGCTTGGGCCCCTGCCATCCCGGACAGTCCTGAATGGAGTTTTGGGCTCCTCTCTTCAGTGTGCTTTAGCCCTGGCCTTTTGGCTATTTGGGGAGGGAATCGGTGAATGGAAAATTTCAATCTCTCTCTAATTCTGTCTTAAAATAAAAACATAAATCTGTAAAAAAAAAAAAAAAAGACTCAAAGAGTATAAAAGTACTATCTATGTGCCAGGTAGCATTCTAGGTGCTTTAGAACATTCACTCAATCCAGAAGAATTCCTATGAGAGTTACATACTGGAATTGTTAAGAAAATTAACAATAAAATCAAGGCACTGTTAATAGTAAGTGCTAGAGCTGCGTATCAGACCTAGGCAGTGTGACTTCGAAGTACATTTTCCTTGCCACCTCTTCATATTCAAGCAAAAACATAAAGCTCAACAAATATATATATATGTATATATATATATTGATTGACAAAGGTATGAAGGCAACTCAACCAAGAAAATCGGGAAACAAAAAGTCATTAACAACAGTTCAGGCACAATTGGGCAACTATATGTAAAAACAAAAGGAGCCCAAACCACACTTTACACCATATTTAATAATTACCACAAAATGAATCATAGAGCCTAAATCTAAGGCTAAAAGCTATAAAGCTTCTTGAAAACAGAGCAGGAACTCTTCATAATCTTGGCTAGGCAAATATTTCCTAGAAATGAAATTAAAAATGTAATGCATAAAACAAACCAAAAAACCAAAAATTAGACTTTTACCAAAAGTGAAAATGTCCGCTTTGCAAAAGACACTGTTAGGACAAGTAATTAATTGGGAAGAATACTTGGAAAACATGCATATAACAAAGAAATTTTATTCAAGATATACAAAGAACTAAAAAAAAAAAATCAGAAATAAGAATATAAATGGGGGCTGGAGATATGGTACAATGGGTTAAGCTGCTACTTGCAATGCTAGCACTCAATATGGGTGCTGGTTCGAGACCCAGCTGCTCCAGATTCCTGCTAAGTGTTAAGTGCTTGGGCCCTGATGAAGCTCTTAGCTCCTGCCTTTGGCCTGGCCCAGACCTGGCTGCTAAGGCTACTTAGCAAGGAAATCAGTAGATGGAAGAGCTCTCACTCCTCTCTCTCTCTGAAACTCTACTTTTCAAATAAATAAATAATCTTTAAAAAAAAAAAAAAAAGGCCTAGCGGCTAAAGTCCTCACCTTGAACGTGCCGGGATCCCATATGGATGCCGGTTCTAATCCTGGCTGCTCCACTTCCCATCCAGCTCCCTGCTTGTGGCCTGGGAAAGCAGTCGAGGACGGCCCAAAGCCTTGAGACCCTGCACCTGTGTGGGAGACCCGGAAGAAGTTCCTGGTTCCCTGCTTCGGATTGGCTCAGCACTGGCCGTTGTGGCTCACTTGGGGAGTGAATCATCGGATGGAAGATCTTCCTCTCTGTCTCTCCTCTCCTCTCTGTATATCTGACTTTCCAATAAAAATAAATAAATCTTTAAAAAAGGAAAAGAAAAAGAAAAAAATGACATAATAAAAATGGGAAAATATTTGACTTAGCAATTCACCAGTTATATGAACCAGAAACAAGCATAAGAAATATGGTCAACATTACTAACCACAAGAGAAATTAAAATTAACTCAATGAAATTTCATTAAATACCCATTTTTAATTATTTATTTTTAAAAAGATATTTATTTATTTTTATTGGAAAGGCAAAATTACAAAGAGAAGGAGAGACAGAGAGAAAGATTTTCCATTTGCTGGTTCACTTCCCAAATGGCCACAGTGGCCAGAACTGAGCTGACTCAAAGTCAGGATCCAGGAGCTTCTTCCAGGTCTCCCATGCAGGTGCAAGGCCCCAAGGCTTTGGGCCGTCCTTGACTGCTTTCCCAGGCCACAAGCAGGGAGCTGGATGGGAAGTGGAGCAGCCAGGAAAGGAAGTGGCTCTCATATGGGATGCTGCACGCAGAGGCTTAGCCTGTTATGTCACTGATTGGTGCAAAGATTTATTTTTTTAAAGGCAGAGTTACAGAGACAGAGGAAGAGACAAACATTTTCCATCTACTGATTCATTCCCAATACAGCCACAAAGGAGTGTGGGTGCTTCAAACCACCTTAGGTCATCTTCCACTGCTTTCCCAGGAACATTAGCAAAGAGCTAGACTAGAAGTAGAGCAGCCAGGACACCAGGACACAAACTGGTGCCCATATGGGATGCTGATGTCATATGCAGTGGCTTAATTCACTGTGCGACAACACCTGTCCTGTTATACACGTATAAAAATAGCTAAATTTTTAAAATTTGATAATACTGAGATGAGGGTATGGTGCAGCTGGGCCTTTTACATATAACTGGTGGGCAAAACGGCATAGGCACTTTGAAAAATAATTTGGCAGATTTTGTTTTTAAAGATTTATTTATTTTTACTGG